CATGATTTCCTCGGCTGGGAAAATTCTGGGAAAGGTCTTCACGAAACTAGGAAATGAGTCAGGACAGATGTGGTGGTTTCAGAAAACGGTGTGTTTTTTGCATACATCATTTGTCTAGGTACATGAAAGGTTGAAGAAATTCCCAACGGTGGGTGGTGAGGGGAGAAATAGGAGACGGGCGTTGAGAATACCTTCACGCAGCGGGAACATTTCTTTGGTCATGCTAACCTAGGTGCTGAATAAACGGGCACTCATGACGCCAGTGAAGCGGACCAGAATCTGAACGCCCGCGGCATCCCTAGTCCCTCTACGTGCTGCTAGTAGGTGGGGTCAAGAACCACTCGCGTGTTGGCTTGGATTTGATGAAACAGTCGTGACAGACCGTGCAAGGAGACCTTAGCCGAACCGTGGCGGCACACGTGAACGACGAAGAAGGCAAGAGCACACAGCTCACAGAAACACCGGCCGTTCTGTGGTTGGGTGGTACACCGAAACGTTGGCCAGGAGGTAATTATTAGTCCGAAGGTGTGGTGAAATTATAGCATGAATTATCGAACAAAACCTTGCTCGCGGGAAAATCCCGGTCTCTTCGCGCAGGCTGACTGCCGCCGGTGTCTACAGCCGGCAGCAAGAGCCGTCACAGCAGTAGTCGCCGGCAGCGGATTTGCGTGGCAGCATCGACAGGTACATAGACGCTTCGTACCCTCGAGAGTGCAACTGCACGTTTTCTGAAAGAGAATACTAGTTGTTGTTGTCTTCACGTTGAAAAACCGCTTATTATTGTACATACCTTTCAATCTCCGTACTGGTCCAACTGACGTGGATCCCTTCCGTGATCACAAGCCAGAGGGGCCCACGTGCAAATTCCTCAAAGACTAACCCCCCGCTCGAGATAATATCCACATACCTAGCCCCGGTCAAAAGGGATATATTTTAATAATTCCTATTCCGGCAATGTGTTGGTGATGCAGAACAAAAGAATACTGAGCGTAGAACGGAGCGGTTTGTAATGTAAGGACAACAAGACACCCCCACGGAAATAAAGAGCCAGCGAGGATGTATGAGGTGGCTGCTGCTGCCGCTTTTGTTGTGTGCCACCAACGAAAATCGGGAGAGCCACCGTAGGAAAACATATGCTTCTGGAGAACATAAGACTACGATTGTCGAGCACCCACGACACAGACAGCAGCCGAAATCACGCACACTTACGTAGTAGAGGAATCTGTCGCTGGTGCCGGGAAACTCGTTGCGCATTAGTTCGGGAAGAGGAGCTCGTGGACGGGATGTTCAGTTCGTGAACTTGAACCGAGGGGGCAACCATCTGGCGGATATCTAGGTGCTTCTACCAACATACATGCTCCTGGCAACTCTCGCGATGGGCGTGGCCGACAGCCCCAATCACCTCAACATCGCCAGCACAGCGGTGGGCGAGGATGAATGCGGTGTGCCCCGCAGTCGAAGTTTGCCGACAAACCAAGGAGGTTGGAGGGCGCACAATAATTTGTTGCTGTCTTCGCAAACAAGGCAGCGCAGCGAAAGACATGGACTGCTGCACGAGAGAGAGAGCAACAACCCTATGATACCAGCGCCTGATCAACCGCCGCCAGTGAACATACCTCATTGCTGCGCCGACTCGGTTTCTTGACGACCACGGTTCCGTGCCCCGCCAGATGCGCCGTGTAGCACGAGCACATCGCCCCGTCGGCGAGGTGTTTGAGGCCTGTGAGCTCTCGCCAGCGGATCGTACGCGCGGGGTGGAATGTTGTGTTTGAGCCGGGCGCCCACGTACCCGACACTCGGTCCGAGTACATCCCTTACCAACAATCGCACCGCTCGAAGAGGATGCTCCTCTAGCCGGTCGGTCTCCTTCCTCTCGTTGGATGGGCAGCTATGGCTGGTTAATGGCGGTGGGTGTACAGCAGTAGTACAGGCAGGAGTGGGTGTGCCGTATGTGAAGTGCGGCGCAATTGTAGCACTTTTTTTTTTATAGGAAAAAAAAAAAAGGGAAATGGACACAAGTGCGGTTTTTTGTTTGTTTGTTTGTTTTTCTCCCATCATTGGACTCTGTCGTCTGCCCCTCTGGCCCCTATCCTCCACTTCTACCAGCTAGACGACCCAACCGGGGTTACATAGGAGGGGGGGTTGGATCCCCTCCTGCGGTTCATGCCTTAGGTATTTTTATCGCGAGAAGGGTACAGCCTGTCTCTTATACACATCTAGATGTGTATAAGAGACAGTGATNAGAAAAAAACCTCTCTCTGTCGGGACTCGAACCCATGACCTGGCCCTCAGCAGGCTGCGAGGCTACTCACTAGACAACCGGGGCGACCGGGAGTGTATACCCACCCCGTTCTCGCACAAAAGTGGGTACTCGAAAATCCAGCGCGCGCGCACTCCGTTGTGGGCGGCCCCCAAACCCCATTCTGACACCTGCGCGACACAGCCAGGGACCATACGCAGCACGGGCATCAAGGTTTCCCCACTTTCAGGCGCACCTTTGGCCCTAATACCGCAGAGGCGCGCAGGGCCTCACTAGAGTGCCCACTTCTGTCCGACATCGCGGTGGGTATACCGGCGTCAACAAATTTTTTCATGTACCCACTTATGTCTATATTTTGACCCACTTTTGTCCAAATTGTACCCACATTAAATGATTTGTGTCCACTTACGGACAACAAAAATCGAGAGGAAATCGACCTCCACGTCACCGCACGGCACAACATCGAATAGCCTCCGAACGTCTCAGAACCTCAACACCGCATCCATTACATCTTTCGTATCCATGACTGCCGACTGCGGACCGACCGCGGAGGGACATGTCAGACAAATGCCAGGCCCCTTTGGTATCGGCACGGGAGGATGTATGTGTGTGTGTTTTCGTCCTATTTATTATGGCGACGACAGCAGCAGTAGTAGTCCCCCCATTTTTCGTGGTGAGACGTGTACTACTACTACAATTTTCAGCGTATGTAGAGTGCTATACTTTTCAGTGTATTTTTTCGTACAACTACAACCATCCAGGTCACACAGACAGGCGGGGGTAAACACCAGGTTTTTTTTCTTCTCTTTATTTCTTTTCATGCCCCACCTTCCTCCTGCGGTGTTTGCTGAATTTTGTTTTATCGCGAGAGGGGTCCAGCTTTCCCTTTCCCTCGTCAACGGTGCTAACGTCGAAGTTTGGTACTACTCACGAACGAGAGCTTGTCAGCTATATTTCGCTTTCACCCGCAAATTTCTTAAATTTTTCACCCCATCCATGGGGATTCGCACTCACGACCTCTGCGACTAGCGGATTACGAGGATACCACTAGACCACCGGGGCGACCGGCCACGGGAGGATTGTTGTTGTTGTTGTTGTTGTTGTTGTTGTTTGTCTTCACATTAAACCCGTGTCAGTTGCTAATCCTCAAATCTAGCAAATACTCGGTCCGTGGTCACAAAAAGGCTAGAGCCATCAGAAAATCTAAAGAACACACACACTATTAGCAAGAAAAAGGCATGCAAGCCCGAGGAGGTACACCTGCAATCCCCGCAGCACGTTTGCATGCATGCTCACAACTGAACTACACGCCCACACACTACAAATAGACTACAACAGCAGCATCACCCCCCTATTCCCGCATTCAACCAAAATGAATGTTTGTCGACTACAACAGCGTACTGCTGTCTGAAGTGCTGTCTGCACAATAATAACACCATGCATGGTGCATGGTACACAAGCTCGGGGCATGCAGCTGCTGTCTGAAGTGCTGTCAGAATGAGTCCGTGTATGTACAATGAAGAACACCCAACCAAAGCCATCATTGCAATTGACAATCACCCGAATCTATCCAGATCACCTATCTGTGTTAGGCACAGCAGTGTAAACATCGACACTGACTAGGAATCGTTCTACATTGAAGGGGTCTTCCACGAGGCAGGTACACAATCAAGGCACCCGGGTTATCCGCGCCATCTCTGCCGCCTCTCTCTACAAAACCAGTAGTGACGTCGTCACACACACCCAACAACACCGGTATTCAGGAAGAAAACGGAAAAATAATTGACAACACAAGAGATGTTTATCCGTCCGCCACGGTTCGATGCCGTCCGCCTGCTCCGGTTCCGCTGCTCCGGTGCCGCTGTGGGCAGTCCTAGCACGACCAAACTCGACCCGCTCCGCTTCGTACACGCTCTCGTTGCTGTCCATCCCAGTCGGTTCCTCGCTTTCTCCCTCGTTGCACTTAGGGTTCTTGGTCTAAAAATTATCGCGCCGAAGGGTCAACCAGCCCAATCAGCTCGTCACACCACCACCTGTCCCCTCCTCATTTGATGGCAAAACCAGGTTACTGAGACAGTACAGCTCCCTCACTCTAGCTTTGGGCACTTGCTGCTGCCGTTAGCTATGTAGGTATCACCGAAATGAAATTGCCCAGAATCCCAACACAGGAGTAGTAGTAGTAGTAGTAGTAGTGTAGTAAACTAGTAGTAGTAGTATGATAGTATTTGATGATCTTTTTGTGTACAGCAGGAGCACTGCAGCAGCAGCATTTTTTTTTCGCGGGAGAAACACCTTTACTTGTCGTTGCTGGTTTGCAGAGTGTATGTTCTCACCAACTTGTTCTCACCACGGAGAAATAATACTTAGAGGTTTATATGAAGCAAATGCATCACTTCAACAACACTGAAATTCATTCACTGCTGTTGTGTTATCTCTGACTACATAAAGTCGTCGCCGCTCCGTCGGAGTAGATAATTGCGTGGTGTGCGGCATCCAGGTTCACATGGTGGCACCTTCTCCACCGAGTGCAACACAAAAACTGGGCAACAGGTCCATACGTGAGTCGTCGTTGTTCCTATAACCCGTTGCATCTCAGCATTTGGCCCTGCTGACCAAACCTGGAAATGGGCAAAATTTCCAGTCGAGGGGGGGGCGGGGGGGGTACCAGTGCATCCCTGTGTGCTCTCCGTGAGCCCCCTTGTCCCGGTCCTGGCGCTTGCGACTTAAGCACAGCAGTAGTTACGGCTGTGGTGTTGCCGTGCTGCTGCGTCGGCTCTGAGTTTCGTGGCGGTGGTGGTACCTGTAGAGCACTCTTGCATCCTCATGGCCCGTCGACGCAAGCTGCCGCACGCCACCATCGTTGGCGTGCTGTCCGCAGCAGCTTGCCTGCTGCCGGCCGCGTTGGGAGCCCAGTCGGCAGACTCCAAGTACGATTCCGGGACAACCATGTTTAGTCCCAAGGGCCGCTTGTACCAAGTCGAGTACGCTGCAGAGGTATGAAGGAATGTGCAATTGTGCGAGTTGATTATCTGAAGCACTGCTTTTGTACTGCACAATGCAACCTGCGACAAACGGTAACTACAGACGAGACTACAGCAGGAACGCGGGAAGACTCAAAACTCTGGCTATTGTTGTACCTCCGAATGCGTAATTCAAGGGTGTGACTAGGGTATCACGCTATAACAGCCCTCGGACCAATTTTCGAAGCTCGATTACTCTGCGAGATCAGTGGCGGTGCTGAAAATAGCGACGTTGGGACCATCTTGTGGAGAGCTTTCCGAAACGTGAAGATCTGATTCGTATGCTGCATCTATCGCGTTGATTTGTGTATTTGTGTATCCTCTGTTCCGTGGAGGTAGTCCAGGGGGTGTGGTATCTTGTGTCACCACTACAGCCGTACGCGATCGTACTAGGTATGGGGGGGTAATGAGCCGCGTGGTGCGACTTAACACCTCGCAGTAGTCTTATCTGCGATGCTGATGGTGCAAGAATCCCGACACACACACGTGAATCGTTTGTGGTGCAGCTACGAGTGCACCACAGAAGGGCAGCAGGCGTGCGAGGAGAGCGACGATAATTTTAGGTGCGGCCACCGTTCAAAATTTTGCACGTAAATGCCGTTGGTTCTTTCCGTTTTGATGCACATACCCGAAGAAACAAGATGTGAAGTCTTCCCGCCGTGCGGACGTAAATAAACACACACGTACGTACATCTGGGCATCTGGAAGCAGCATTCATGCGGCATCCCCCTGGCGGCGAGCGTATCACACATACATCACACCGTCGAGGAACACGACCAGCAGCGTAGACATAGGATTGTGACACGACAGATGGCTCATATTGCTTCAGGCTCACAACTTGCCCGCCACATTCGTCTCAAGCCTTCCGAGTTTCCCGCCCAAGTGAAAGCAAGCAGTCCACCATGAACCAAAAACAACAAAAAACCGTTGATGGTCACAGCATGCAGGGCACGGCTTTCTTTTGCGAAGACAGGCAGTAGCGCGGCGCTAGTGCGCAATCTGAACCGATCCCGCGGGGAACCATCCTGATAACGCACAGCAGCAGCAGTAGTAGACCCTCACGCCTCGACGGATTCTCTCGATGATGGTAGGTGTGATCTGGACTTGGGAAGGTGTGTTATTTGTGTATCATCTGCCGTTGATTGGACCCACTCAACATCAATAAATACCCGCCACGTTACACATGGCGCATGCCTACAGTATACCCACGGTGCACAGGTCGTAAAGGTCCGGCCCATCATGGTTTTCATAGCTGGTCTCAGACCAGCGTCTCAGCGGTGATGCGTTCGTTGGTGGTGTTCTTGCGTCTCTGTCGGTGTTTCTTGTCCTGGTCTGAGTCGCGCGCCCGCGATCTCCGCCTTTGTGCACGCCTTTTCGCATAGAAACCCCAGGGTTGGGGAGCACAATCTCCAACGAATATAGGCTACATATGCCGGTGACGCAATGCCATCTGCTCTCGGAGCAGGACGAAACCGGTGTGGAGAAGAGCGCGCTAATTTTCTTCTTCCTCAAAAGCGAGCAGATCGTCAATCGGTGCCCTATGGATCTCGTTCTGGTTCCAAAGGTGTGCTAAATAGGCTTCCCGGAAACCAAGTTTTGGGGCCCCTGTATCGCGCGGCGCAACTTTGGCCGATATACAGAGCCTTTATTTTCCTGCTGGGAACGAAGGGAAAAAATGTCGCTCGCTCCGCGGCTCATTAAAATGAGTTATGTAGGTACAGTTTTTGCAACGGACACACTCCCGTAGGCAAGAAAGTCGTGATGCTCCATTTTCACGTGACCCCCACGCTACCAGGGTGTATGTACCGCTGGAGACGTGGCCGGCTGTAGTATGGAGGCCTCTACTCTGGGTGACCGGAGAGTGCGGGGTTGTGGTGGCTATGTCCTGCCACCGGAGGTTGGCTATTTCCCTTGATACAATGTGGCGAGGAATGCCAAGCGTGACCGAGCGAACTCAGTCAAGCTAGGGTGGTGCGGAGAGTGGGCGAGCCTTCGTGGACCCATTTTCCCATTCTCCGAAAGATCCATCAACTCTTTGCAGCCGTTGGGAATCACAAGAGTTGTGGACCCTCGGAGAATAGTAATCTATTATGACATACTCCCTCAGATCCTACTCTTTATGTACGTGTATCTGTGCTCCCTGAATCTCCATATCCTGACCTCCACAGTAGTCGTGAAATAATTGCTACAAGAAGGGTCGTGAACGCGTGTTGTGGCGTAGTCGACTGCCCACGGAGAAAGTCACCCGGTATGCTCGGGAACAGCAGGTGGTTCTCAACTATCCTAGAACCGTGTTTATCATTTCATCCCACAGGACCCGAATTAACCGCTCTCTGATCACCCAGCTATTTACCTAGGTTCTGCGTGTAGTTGTTCTTGATCTTTTTCACCCACCTTTCCTTCTTTCCTGCCTATCTCTGTTGTCGCTGCTGCTGTTGTTGTTGTTGCTGCTGCGCTGCTGTTGCTGCTGCTTCTTCTACTATTCTTACCATTGTCTGCGGCATGCATCGACGGGGCTTAGGCGGTAGCCCGAGCGAGACCCGCGGTTGGAATCTGTACAGACGAAGGTGTGTGCCCTCCCTCCCGCCAAACACGCCTCCCTAAAAAGATAGGTTAGGTATGTGTTCCCAACGAGTTTGTTTCTCCTCGACACAGCCACGTCCGATTGTCGGTGAGGTTCATTTCCTTTTAGTGGAAGATTATGATCAAAGGTTAGTGAGCACACGTTCACTCGCGACCCCGAAGACATGCTACCGTACTAACGTGGACGTGACCCACATCACGACGCCTGAGACAACCCGCAGGTAGATTTTGTAGGCCTTCGATGAGAACTCCACGCTCACGTTGGCTCAGCATTCCTCTTTGTTCTCATGACGCCCTTGGGCCCGCACTACACCCCGCATGCGTAGATTATTCTGTGACGCTCTCATTGCTTACTCTTTCAAAAGTACACCCCTCCCTAGCCTTCCCCACCCTTGTGCCTGGAAACCGCTGACAAATAAACCCGAGACAAGAGTGGTGAAGGCGTTCTGACAACAGAACCCTGCCATGCGTGGTGTGATCTACTTCTTTCCTATCCACTTGGTTGACGCTTTCTACCCACGAGCCTCTGTCAAGCACGTCTGTGCCCGAACCCTCGTGGTATTTTCCCTCGTCCAATACCACCCCTGATAGATATCTTATCTCGTGTACATGTCCGAGGCAGCAGTACTCTACTCGTAGCGAAGGACCCCTTTTTTTATCGTGGTGCTAACGTTGCTTTAAGCCCTCTCTCTGAACGTAACCCCACCCTCCCCCCGTGCTCTAACTATGAAATCGCGTCACCAATCTTGTTTCTCAGGCGTTGTACTGTGCTCCCTCAAGACGATACGCAACAAGCGGCTCCAGGTGGGGGACCAGCGCGTCAAGACCAGCCGCGTGGACTCGCACATCGTGTGCACCTCCGCCGGTCTCACTGCCGACGCCATGGTGCTCGTCAAAGATTGCAGGGTGAGCGGGCGAGTGGAGGTCCCCCAATAAGGCGGCGGTGGGGCTGCTGATAATGACCAATATTTTGTGGGGCAGTCGCTTTATTGTTACGCCTATTCCAGTCAATTTCACCCGCCTTACATAGGGCGACCGCCTTATTCAGACCGCGTTATTCGACCTCCGGTGTTTACCATCGGGGTTGGGTTTTCGTCGCTTGGCAACGACGTTGTAAAACAAGCCGCCCCTCCCGGTGTTTGCCATCGGGGTTGGGTTTCGTCGCTTGGCAACGACGTTGTAAAACAAGCCGCCCCCCCCCGGTGTTTGCCATCGGGATTGGGTTTTCGTCGCTTGGCAACCACGTTGTAAAACAAGCCAATTCACTTCGTGAAGTCGGCAACCAGGTTACCGTTTTTTTTTTT